TTTTTTTTTTTTTTTTTTTTCTACGATTTTAGGCGTTAGATCGACGTGCCTCTTCGTCGCGCTTGCCTTCGCCCGGCTCTACGGGTCGTATTGCCGAGCGTGTTCGACGCTTCATAAAACGAACGACACGTCGATGATCGCGATACGCGACGCGTTGCACGCGCGAGAAACGGATCTCGCAAAGTCACGCCTTGCCGGACGAGTCAACGAACGAGAACGGAACAGATTTAAGGGAACCGAGAAAAAACAACTAAATGGATAAAAGATAAAAAAGAAAATAGAAAAAAGACAAAAAAAAAACAAAAAATAAGAGAGAAAGGAATGGAAATGGGACGGAAGACCGTAGTAGTGCGCGTTGCGAATGCATGTATATACGCGAAAGAATTATCGTTTCGGTATGATGAGAAGAGAGAAAATGTTACCCCTCGGCTTCGTCATCCGTCACGTTTCGAAGTAGATCCTCGTGTTCCCTGTATCGAAGGTCCGTGTATAGAATTTCTGGCTCGAAATCCGAGCTGATCTCCAACTGGCGCGTTCTGGCTGCGAGAGTGTCCATTTCGATGGCCTTGACCTGCTGCTCCAATCGTTGAAGCATATCCGTACTCTCTGCGCCCGAACCTTTTCGCTGTTTCAGGATCAGTTCGAGTTTAACCGGAAGTTTGGCGTCGCTGTCGGAACAATCGTCATCGCGTCGAGGACGAACCGCGATAGGTTGAACGATGTTCGAGTTTTTGAACGCCTTCAATTTCTCCTCGAGGCTCGCTTCGATCGCGACAGCCTTTTTACCGGCGATCGATGTCGCGTCGTTACCAGCGACGCTCGGTGAACGTTTGACGACACCACCCTTCGTCGAAGGATTCGCCATGCTTCCCTTTTCTATCACTTGGAGACGATGATCGTGCTCCACCAACTCCCACTGCTTCAAATTGTCCATCGGTGTACGAGCTGTCGCCACGTACCTTCCGGGGGCCGAGGTGAGACTCGTCGGTTCTCTGTTCGCGGATCGGTATCCACCGATCTGACGTTGCTTGTTCTCCGTCGTCGCGACGTTCGGCGTTTCGAGGCTCTGCCGCTCGGTTTGCGATCGAATCGAGCTTCTGCTCGATTGAGCTCGAGAGAACAGACTTTCTCGACCCTCCATGGTCGATCGACGAAGAGGTTATCGCGTTCGAACGTTCTCTCTATCTCTCTCTCTCTCTCTCTCTTTCTCTCTATCTCTCTCTCGCGAGAAAGAAGAGATACACTCGGCGGGATTCGATAGTTTTCCACGCGTCGTCAGCAAACTTTGGGAAAATGTTCGAACGTCGTGCAGCACCAGCGGCAATTCTTCAACATGGATCCTTCATCGACCGAATGGATCGGCTTCCACAGGCAGCTTGGCAGGTCGCGTTCTCTGTTAGAAAAACATGCGTTATCCTCGTTAAGGAGCCGCTGATCGCTTCGCTGGGCGACGATCTTCGTCGACGAAGGGACGATTATCACTCTTCACACGTTGAGACATTTATGTATGTATATTACCCAAAACCCGAGCACGAGGAACGAGGCACGAGGCACGAGACACGATCCAGCCGATTATCCTTCGCCGGTCTTATACTTTATTTCTTGTTGGCAACAATGACATGTACATGTGTGTGTATATATATAGAGGTATCGACAAGCAAAAAGCAGCGGCGCGTACAGACACACTTTATGTGAACACGAAAGCTTTCCTCGACCGAGGCGAACGGTCGTGATTCGTGATACTTTCTTGGCGATCGATCTCGCCAGAGTACCAGGTGCGTCGACTCGCGGACAGGCGATTTCGATTATTCGCCGATTCGAAAAATCGAAGCGTGAAGGTGATTATGGTTGCGACGATTGCGACGAATACACAGGCCTTGTATACGTTGTCCGGCACGAATTTCTGATCGATGGAAATCGATGGTGGAAGGTGTCGATACACGGAAGGACAGGCAAACGAGGAAGAAACGAAAGAAAAAATACAACTAACGAGAAAAGAAAGTGGATGGCACCGATGTTACGGTACTCCGCGCGATACATCGAACCGACCGATAAAGATATGCCACGCACGCGTCTTTCCAAGGTGTTGATTCGTCGATCTTCGAGTTTATTTTTTCACTTGCTTATCGCTCGATGGTCGCTAGTAGCTCGCGCTCGAATACGAAAAGGCACGTTTTCTCCAACCGAACGAACCGACTATTCGATTCGCCGGGGAATAGACATCGCCCGGCGGAAATTGTTCGAACGGAACGCCGCGGTAAAACTCGGAGAAAGCAACTTCGCAGTTAATTGCGAAACGGATCGGGGTGCGTTCGATGGAAAAGTTGGAATCGTTTCGAGTGCAGGTTGGTGAGCGCGATAAGAAACGCGTCTCTTTCCGTTGTAATAATCTCACGGTTGGCCTCGATGGCGGCGCGATATCTCAGAAACGGTACCGATTTCCCGACCAGAATAAACGCTACGCACGAACCTACGGAAACGTATGCAAATTTCTCGCGTTATCGACGTAAACGAATAGGAGAAGAGAAAAAAAGAAACGAAGGAAGCAACGAATCTGTGTATGCGGTAGCGAACGAACGTCGATGGCAGGTCGGAGAGGAAATTTTTGTTCGATCGACCGTGGTCGTAATCGTTTATCGTTCTATATCGAATACGCGCAACGTATCTCTCCTTCGACTAAGTCACCGGTCGTCCAAGATGGAACGCTCGTGCGACGCGGCGGACACTTTGCGAAAAAAGGCGGATCGATCGCCGAAAAGGAACGAACGCTGCGAGGTTGCGCGTCAACGGTCGGCTACGAACAACTGGGTCCATTTCCCCCGAACGATAAGCGCACGACCGGCCAACTTGACTTCGTTAGACCGTTATCAGCGGTAGATGCTGATAAGCGATACAAGCAACCTAACTCGAGCTCGATTCCGACGCCCAAGTTGCGAGAATCTCCAACACGACCGAGCCAAGAAAAATAATATATTTTCTCCTTGTCGGTGGGAGCAATTTTTTTTTTTTTTTTTTTAATCGAAACGACAAGAACGATGACGAGTAAAACCTGAAAACTGATAAAGGCGCGTCTTCAAACAAACTAGCTTACAGAGTAAGGCGAGCCCTCGTCTTTTCTACCTAACGATACAAGTATCTACAATATCTGGCACTACCCAGTATATGGATTATCCGAAGGAGTTTCGCGTCGTAATTTTCAGAGAAGTCTGCTTGTAATCGATTTTCGACGGATCGCTTCGTTGCGACGATTCTCCGATTCGGTTTGCCAAGACGAAATTCCCCTCTGCGGATTTTCTTTCAAAAATTCCCACGGAAAAGGACAATTTTTGAGCAGTGCATCGTGACCGATAATAAGAGATTTCCGTTTTCGCTTACTCGCGTCGAGCGATTGGACAGGAAGCGAGTGAGGTCAAGGAGAGACGGAGAGGGAGAGGGAGAGAGAGAGAGAGAGAGAGCCTTCTTATCGCTGGCAAAGATATTTAAATCGCGATTTCCGAGAAGGTTAAAACCTACCAAAGACAGTCAGCTATATCTGTATATCTGGTCTGGAGGATAGATTCGTTGTCGAGACGATAAAGCGGAGACCGCGCATTCCGCTTGCGCTGAATACGTAGAGGCAGTAAAGCATAAGTCGTGGTTAAGAATGGAACAGGTGGCTAACAAGGCTAACCTGGAAAAGATATCTCACTCTCGTCCGATCGAAATCGCGCCTCACCCACGTGAACTTGATGCGAGTTCTCGTTTGCATTCACCGCGTGGCAACGTGCGTACATAAGTAAAAACAATCAACGCGAAGCAGCAGCAGCAGCAGCAGCAGCCAACTGTTTGCATCGAACGTTTACCAGCGTTCTGGTCCATCGAGCGCAGATACTTGGATATCGGCGGTAAGCAACGCTAAATGTTTAAACATTCGTTTCCATCGTACGCGTATTTCTCGTGGTTAATTCGGTGTGTAAACTTTCCCTTAAGTACGATATTAATCCGCGTATAGCGAATTATCCAAGATACAAGATAAACGACTGGTTCGAGAGAACTTGGCAAACTACGCCTACTGACGTACCAATTAGTCGTACGATTCTCGAGTAACGTGAAATTACACGCAGGTTACGTAAAGCCTCGGCGTCCACCTTCCTTTCTTTTACATTTTACCTTTCCGTTTTCAGGCTTTGCCCTTTTTCGATCGTTCCCAGTCTATCCTTATCTCGCTCGTTGGACAAGGATCAGGGAATCGTGTACAATTGTCGCGAAACGATATTCTTAAGAGTCTCGAGTGCGCTATTCGAGTTGCGAAAAGAAACGTATTCTATAGGCGTAAAACGATTCCATCGAAAGCGAAATCGAGGAAAGAGTCGGAGGAAGGAGCGATCGAGCGAAGAAGTTCGTGCGACGCATCGTCGATATATATCGCGTAAATTAGCAAGGCGCGCCAGTTTTCGCACTTATTCACTGAGTTTGTCCGATTGTTTTCGATCGCTTCACGTACGAAAACGATAAAATCGTGAAAAGATGGAGCGCGTGTACTCGACGAACGGCCACTGAAACGGCTCGCGTCGGGCAGTCTCGCCGATCCCCGATGAGACTGCATCCGGTGGAC